AAGAAGAAACGCGAAGAATTTCAACGGTAATAAAAAACTTACTAGATAAAACAAAAGAAATATACATTTATTATTTTAGAAAACAAATTCAAGACGCTCTTAATCAACAAACATATCCACAATTTAAAGCTTACGCTGAACAGCAATATAAAGACAATCGACAAGCGGTATAAATAAATATATACATATATATATTGTAGTTCTAGATAATTAATTGATAAATTTTCTCTTTTAACATATTCAGCAAGACGATTTAATTCGTCAATTACAAGACCAACATTTTCAACAGTATATGCAACAAGTTTATCAACAGCAATTAAATTATCAACAGCAACATCGAACAGTATGATTTATAGAATGAGAATAAATAGAAGCTTAACTCTTTTTCCGTTTTTATAGAAATCAGATATGGAACAACAATCAGCACCACTTTCATCTCTCAATCAAATGCCAACTCTTGGTCCTGCGCCTACACAACTTCCGCCTATTGTTCATCCACCACCTTTATCGACAACTAACGGTAGTATTTCTACTGAAGAACCTAAAATTGAACAATCTAGTCCTATTCATACGCAATTCGAATCTCTTAATCTCAATACACCATTGCAATCATCTGCTAATATTGATCTATCTCAACAACAATTTCGTTCAGTTCAGATCAATAATGAAATGGATGGTAACCAAGATTTAATTGATGGTAATGATACAGATCTTAATCCAAATAATGATCTAACATTATCAAATGATGATGGTACACGTGGTATGTATTCAATAAAAGAATAAATATGTCAATTTTTTATAAAATTTCTCATTTAAATAGAATATCCAACAATATCACCAGCTAATATGTGGACACGTAAAGATCTTAAAGAATTTAAAGATGCTGTACGTAAAGAAAAAGATGCTGTTATTAAAATTGGTAGTGGTGAAACTGTGACCGTATGTTAAAAATCTTAGTTTTGGTTTTTCATAAGATATGATTAATAATTTTTTAGGTACGAGTACCAACACATGAAGATGGTCGTTGTATATTTTGGGAATTTGCAACTGATTATTATGATATAGGTTTTGGTCTTTACTTTGAATGGAGTAAAGTTCAATCAAATACCGTAACCGTTCATGTAAGTGATTCAAGTGAAGATGAAGAAGAAGGTGAAGATGGAGGTAATTGTACGTATTTTAAATGAAAAAAAAACAATAATAATCAAATAATCTTATTTCTAGCGGAAAAAAAAGATATTGAAAAAGGTTCACAAACTAGTAATAAACCACCAAAACCATATCAAGATGAAATTGTTCCAATATTTCGACGTGAATCACATGAAGAAATCTATGCTGGTAGTCATCCATATCCTGGACATGGTGTTTATTTACTTAAATTTGATAATAGTTATTCATTATGGCGTTCAAAAACACTTTATTATCGTGTTTATTATTCAAGATAAAAGAAAAACACTAATAACAAATAGATGACATTCGTTTTCTTTTCTTTTCTTTTCTTTCTTTCTTCTTTTCTTTCTATTCATATTTTTGCTTTTTATTTCTATTCATTTTATGTTTTATGTTTGTCTTCAATTGTGATTTGATGTTTTATTTCTAAGAAATTTTTCTTTTTAAACATTACATACATATAATATTGTTATATTGATGAAAAACACAAAGATAAAACGAGGAAAAGAGATTTTATTTATGGATCGTGGTTATATTATATCACATTTGTAAATTT